AATAGACTGCAGAGTCCTGGCCTGAAGAGGTAGTTGTGGGCTCTGCGTTGTGCCATCCTCTTAGCCAGAGGTTGTTCGATTGTATAAACCACAGCAATCCTCCTGGCTCTTACTTTTTAATCGGGTCAACCAAAGAACCATCCAACAGTGGACACTCTTAGCTCGACAAAGCTAAAAGCTCAGTGAAAACAGGATAGCAACATCCTTCCATGTATTTCAAAAAACTGGTGGTTGCCTGGAGACTGTACTGTTTTTTGTTTTTTCACATTTTGTGACGGATGGTAACTTGTTGTGATTAAATGGTTGCCCAGAGTTCACCTGATAGGATACAAATTTTGTGCAAACAGTCGCAGTCTGACTTGGACCGACTGCGATCCAGGCCTGACTTACGCCCGTCTCTAAAATGATTATTTTCTTTTCTTACTTTTATTCTTATTCATCATTTTAGCCAAACTCAAACACTTTTATATTTACTGATTATGTTCTGATCAGTATTGTGCATAATTGACTACCTGCAAACTCACAAATTAATCATAATTCTGTGTTTAACCCTTACACTGTTTCTCTTGTTCAAAAGTATAATCTGTTAGTGACACAGTTCTTCATATTATAAAATGTTAAATAACTATCATATCCTGGGGTGCCTGATGTTTCCCACCGCCATCTTCACCATCCCTTTTCCAATATATCCACTTTCCCTCCTCTGCACATGTTCTAACCAACTCAGCCTTGCCTTTCTAACGTTGTCTCCAAACTGCTCAACCTGAGCTGTCCTTCTGTTGTACTCATTTCTAATTCCTGGTCACTTCCAATGAAAATCAAATATATCTTCAACTCTGCCTGCTGTCTTTTTGTTAGAGCCACAGTCAGCAATCTAAATGGAAACAGTGGTAAAGCGCCAAGGTAAATGAACCTCTGTGCTCAGTGTGGTTTTCCTGATAAGCCATGCTGTTATTTTTATCTGTCATTACCAACTCTCCAATCACAGGAGGGCTTGAGCACTAAGGTTAATCACGCCATTAACTGGCTAACAGAATGACTAAAGCTTCTTCTTCTGCTTAAGCCACTGTTTGAATCATTTGGTGTAGAATACCAGTGAATAAATACAGACTTCCTACAACACACATAATGAGAAATGACTTGCCAGTACAAGGCTGAAATCTGCATGTTTGTTCAGATGACAAGAGGATCGTGGAAATTCCCACCTGCCATTTTGCCATTAAGATTTGGAGAGTTTACCACTATGAAGGACTTCCCCCGTGATGCTGTTATGTCGTGGAAGGGCCGAAAATGAAAACGAAACTAAAAGTTTTAGTAACTACACTACTTCTCCGTTAAAACAACAATGCGAGGCTTTTTAAGACCCCCCTTTTAAAAACATACTGTTTGGTAATAAGCACGACACCGGGGAGGGAGTCTGAAGGCTCTGCTATCAGGCGCTTGATTGTCACAGTGGATCCTGGTGTAAACTGGAGGAAAGAGTTTCTGTTGTTCTGAGATTTGTCGTGCCTCAAATTGAATCCACCAAGGTGCACATGTCGTGCTATCAGATCCGTAAAACTGCGCGTAAAGGCCTTTTGTTAGTTAAGAATATAAATGTCACTTTAAAAAGGCGTTTGTGCGCACACACACACACACACACACACACACACACACACGCACACACACACACACGTTTAGGTTGATAACAAAAGCATTTGTTCTAAACATACAGATGTGTGTGTGTGTCTACGCTTACCACACTGCGGTTTCCGCTCGTATCGCGTAAAGCCAGTCGGAACTCTCCGGCCCGGCTCGGGTCCATGCTGAGCTGCAGGCGCAGAGCCTCGCTGCCCGCTCCGGGGAGGTACAGCGGTCGGATCCCGGAATGGCACACCGAAACACGGACGGACATTAAGACTGTACTGCAGCAGGCGGTAGGTGCAGGGCCGCCGCATGCAGCCTGTGGGGACGAGGCAGGAATCGGGGCTGGTGGAGCCCAGCCGCCCGAGCTGAGAGCCATGTCGCGGACACCACGGACGGGTGAGGCTCGGTACTGCTGCCCGTGTCTTCTGCGGGGTTTAACAGGTCCACCGGTGTTTAAAGAGAGTGCGTTTTATCACGGGGAGGCTCTGGCTGTCTCCGCGCCTCGCAAATTCTTCCATGTCTACCCGAAGCCGAGCGACAGAAAAACAAAACAGGAAGCTGAAGAGTACGACTGTAAATCTTCTCCGTAAAGAAACAGCGACTCCAATTTTAAAACAGCGCAGTATAAGAAAGATTTAAAACACACACTCGGATTAAAAATATTAATCTCTAATCATCTCTAATAAAGAATTATATCTCTAATATTAATCATACTTGCGTTTGGTTTATGTTATTTATATGCACTGTTCAGAAAAAGAAAATGAAAGAAACAGTCATCCCAGTAGGCTATAAGTCATTTAAGCTTTATGGATGGTAAGACATGGATGTTAACACCCTTTACTAACCCCTTATTAATCCCAGAGTTGGGAAATTCATAGTGTTGTAGCAGCATAACAAGGGTTGAACCTAGTGCAAAACACATAACTTGTTCCAGCTTCTTTGGTTGGATCTATGAAAAATACCAAACATAACATGGTTTGATAGACAGAAAAAAGAGAGAGAAATATTTTTGTACCAGTAAGGTGATTCCCAAAGAGCTGTTAGTCAAAAACCTGGCATATCTCGAAACTGTGTGGCTAAAAACAATTTAGGAAACTGGACAAATGGAGGAAAAAAGAGCGTCGGGCCTAAAAACTATCTAAAACAGTTGAACAGAATCTGAAAGTTATGCCCTTTTAAAAATAGGAAACAATCCAGCAAAGACCTAATACAGGACCTGAGACATGCATCTGGGCCTTCAGCTAAATTCATACTGTTCACTGAAACCTCATTGGATATGGTCTCAGTGGAGGAGTGGCTGTCAAGAAGCCATTGTTAATGAAGGGAAAGATGTTTTCTTCTCTTTGTGGCTGAGGTATGCCACATTTCACATGAACTGATCTGATGGAGTAATGAATCCAAACTGAAACGTGTAGTTCAAATTATCAACGTATACAGAGAAAATCAGTGAAGATGTACAACAGCGAGTGTCTACAGCCATCTGTAAAACACAGTGGAGGATGTTTTGGGTTTTGTCTGGGGTCTGCATTTCAGCCAGTGGGAATCATGTCAAAATTGATAGAATTATTAATGCAGAACAGTACCACCAGATTTTAATCATCCATGAAACACTATTTCTAAAACATCTGATTTCCAAGGGTTTCGTTTTTCAGCATGGCAGTGATCCCAAATACACTGCCAATGCAGTAAAAGCATACCACACAATGGAGCGCTGACAGTCATGGATTAGCCTGCCAAGAGCCCAGACCTCGACATTTATTGAAGCAGTGTGGGATCATCTTGACTTAGAACAGAACAAAAAGGAAGCCAACATTCAAAGAAGAGCTTTGGATGTTCTTCAAGAAGGAAGAACTATTCCTTAAGACTACTTAAAGAAATGATCAGAAAGCTTGGCTAAGAGATGTCAGACTGTGCTGAAGAATAAAGGTGGTCAAACCAAATATCGACTTTCAAGCACATTTGAACTATAAAAGCTCAATTTTACCTTGTATTGTGTATTTCCATGTATATTTTCACATTTCAATAAATTGATGCACTTATTTTTTCATTTTGTGAGCAAAATACACTCAACAAAAATATAAACGCAACACCTTTGTTACTGCTCCCATTCCCCATGGGATGGACGTAGAGACCTAAAATTCATTCCAGATACACAATATAACCATCCCTCCCAAACAGTGGTCACAAATCAGTCCAAATGTGTGGTAGTGGGCACATCTGCTATATTGAGATAATCCATCCCACCTCACAGGTGTGCCACATCAGGATGCTGATCTGACATCATGAGTAGTGCACAGGTGTACCTCAGACTGCCCACAACAAAAGGCCACCCTGGAATGTGCAGTTTTGTCTCACAGCAAAATGCCACAGATGCCACAAGCAATGAGGGAGCGTGCAATTGGCATGCTGACAGCAGGAATGTCAACCAGATCTGTCGCCCGTGCATTGAATGTTCATTTCTCAACCATAAGCCGTCTCCACAGGCGTTTCAGAGAATATGGCAGCACATCCAACCGGCCTCACAACCGCAGACCTCGTGTAACCACACCAGCCCAGGACCTCCACATCCAGCAGGTTCACCTCCAAGATCGTCTGAGACCAGCCACCCAGACAGCTGCTGGAACAATTGGTTTGCACAACCAAACAATTTCTGCACAAACTGTCAGAAACCGTCTCAGGGACGCTCAACTGCATGCCCGTCGTCCTCATCGGGGTCTTGACCTGACTCCAGCTCGTCGCCGTAACAGACTTGTGTGGGCAAATGCTCACATTCGATGGCGTCTGGCACGTTGGAGAGGTGTGCGCTTCACGGATGAATCATGGTTCACATTGTTCAGGGCAGATGGCAGCTGAGAATGTCCCAGTTCTTGCATGGCCAGCATACTCACCGGACATGTCACCCATTGAGCATGTTCGGGATGTGCTTGACCGGCGTATACGACAGCGTGTACCAGTTCCCACGAATATCCAACAACCTCGCACAGCCATTGAAGTGGAGTGGACCAACATTCCACAGGCCACAATTGACAATCTGATAGACTCCATGCGACGATGTGTTGCACTGCATGAGGCAAATGGTGGTCACACCAGATACTGACCGGTTCTGGGTCCCCAGACCCCCAATAGCGCAAAAAACTGCACATTCCAGGGTGGCCTTTTGTTGTGGGCAGTCTGAGGTACACCTGTGCACTACTCATGATGTCAGATCAGCATCCTGATGTGGCACACCTGTGAGGTGGGATGGATTATCTCAATATAGCAGATGTGCCCACTACCACACATTTGGACTGATTTGTGACCACTGTTTGGGAGGGATGGTTATATTGTGTATCTGGAATGAATTTTAGGTCTCTACGTCCATCCCATGGGGAATGGGAGCAGTAACAAAGGTGTTGCGTTTATATTTTTGTTGAGTGTATAAAGAAATGAGGGTGGATCAAAACTTCTGCGTGGTACTGCAAACGTAGGTGAACCTACAAGCACTGATAACCTTGAACAGTAGAGAGGGAGAGTCTTTCTTAGACATTTTCTTCTAAGGAAAGTATTAACCTCCTTCTAACCTTTGTGCCATAATGAAAGCTGTTCAGTGGCACATACCACATGGCACATAAGTTGTTTATTCCTATTTATGGAGATCTAAATAAATACATAAATAAATAAATAAAAACAAATCATAATTATTTGTTTAAAACTTCTCTCTAAATAAGACTGACAGATCGCACACAGAGGCACTAAGAGAAGATACTTTAATGGGCTCTGTCATGCATGGTCATGACCAAAAGTTTATACACAATGCAGAAGTAAAGCATCGAATTGTGCACTGGAGTCAATTCAAGAAGTCTGTCCTTCCAGCACAGGGTCTGTTAATAAGGCACATATTGCCTAATTCTGTGCACATCTGACTAAAAAAACAAGTCCTTTGGTAAATGATTCTTCTCACATCAAGCCGTGAAGGAAGAAAAGACTCAGCTCACCTCCTCCACACTTCTGTTGGTCTGAACAAAGTAAAGAGGGTTACAGTAATATCTGCGTAGCAGGACATCCATTCAAACATGTGGAACATGAAGCAGTTAGAGTATGGAGCCCTGGCAAGACGAGCAAACCAGATCAAGGACGAGCTCAGACAGGCAAGAAAAACTATGTTTACACAGAGTTGTAATAAAGGAAGCATAAACCAGAGTTAGTCATGCTGTCTTTGTTGTAATATCTTTAACCTTTGCTTTCAATTCCTCTTCTACAGGGAGTGAGAAGACCCTACAAAGAAGTGATCGATGTCTTCCAGGGTGATTTACACAGGGCAGGAATGAAACCTCTGACATTTGTCAGACAGGTAAACTTGGACCTTTACACACTGTGTAAACTCATTACGTTTCCTTTGAGTAAGGATTGCCCATGTTGCGCTTTTTCACAGGTTCTTGCAGCGTGTGTTTACCCGCCGCTTATCAACAGCAGCAATCTGCCACTTGATGTTAGACAGAGGGCCCAGGAGGAGCTGGGGAGATGTGTTGGAGGGAGTGTAGGTGAGGGCAACGTATGCGGTCTAATGACGTGGAAAAAAATGAAAATGCTTGTAGTGCAGGACCCCCAAGGTGGAGCGCATAAACTCCACCTACCACAGTAGTAGTTGTTACACAATAAAGATTGTGTGACAACTACTACTGTGGTTTCGGCCCTTGGCTCCGGACACAGGCACCCCGTCTCACTGCCACACCTTCCCAGCTAGCTTTCACTGACAAAAAGCAGACACACAGTCAATTGATGCACCTGCGCACCTATTCTCCCCGCCTCAGCACCACCCCATGAGCTCACTGTGACGTTTTCTCCGCTGCAGCAGGCCAGAGACCATGCCCCTGCCAAAAGGCTTTATCTGCAGTAACCGTGTGGTGGCAGAAATAGCAAAAGACTAAAACCCCCAAAACAGGGCAGATGGCATCAAAACTATCTACAGATACAGATCTAGAGAGCTTCAACTGGTAAAAATGGAACTGGAGAATACCTTTAAGGTTCTTAGGGTTACTACAATCAAACAAGTCAAATCAAACTTTATTGTCAGTTCTGCAATGTACAGGACATACACAGCACTGAAATGCCGTTTCGCCCACTGTGTGCAATAGAAAAAAAAAATCAAAATTCAATTCAAATCTAAAATAAAATAAAATAGCTGTTTATGTATAAAAAATGAGGTTTGCAAGAATTCTTTTAAAAAAGCTTTTTAATTCATAAAGTTGGGTGAGAATATCTTTTAAGTGAATACTTTCAGTGATTCACTTAAAACAACAGTAACAGGTCTCCACAGATTACAAATAAACTGCGCAGAAATACTGTCATACTCTGGCTTCCATGTTTATTATATACATAAAAGTCTCTATACAGGAAGCATATGTAATAATAGAAGTGTTTAATAAACTATAGGCTCATATAGACAAACATTATAAATACAATGAAATGTATATGTCTTATAAAACATTTTTAAAAAGCCATTTTATGAATTCAAATCTAGGCAGAAATAATAATACCGAAAGTCTGCTTTGTTTTGCAGGATCAAGTTGTTGGTGTGTATTTAATATAATAATAATAATAATAATAATAATAATAATAATAATAATAATAATGGATTGCATTTATATAGCGCTTTTCGAGACCCTCAAAGCGCTTTACAATTCCACTATTCATTCACTCTCACATTCACACACTGGTGGAGGCAAGCTACAGTTGTAGCCACAGCTGCCCTGGGGCAGACTGACAGAAGCGAGGCTGCCATATCGCACATCGGCCCCTCTGGCCATCACCAGTAGGCGGTAGGTGAATGTCTTGCCCAAGGACACACAGTGTTGGGAAGGTTACTTTTAAAATGTATTCCATTACAGATTACAGAATACATGCCCCAAAATGTATTCTGTAACGTATTCCGTTACGTTACTCAATGAGAGTAACGTATTCTGAATACTTTGGATTACTTAATATATTATCATGCTGTTTACAACTACGTGAATGTACTATTGCTGTGATTTATTACTGTTACTGAAGGTCCGCGGCTCCGAACCGTAGTAAAGGGACCTCTGGCTAATACGTCGGGTTCTGTGTCGGGCTCGTAGCCGAAAAATAGCTTTACTTTGTTGTCTGGGTCAACTTTGCTTGCGAGAGACAGAGAGAGGCGTTGAAAGGCTGCTCCAACGAACTTATTGTTTTCGGAGGAAAACACGAACACGGTGTACAGTCGAGTCTTAATAGCTTACTTACAACTGGGCTCGTCAGGCTCTCTTCTTGGCTGCAGTGGTTATTATTATATTTACATGCTTCCAGCTCCCGTTTTTGCTCGATGACAGCTCGTACTTTTCCTTTTTCTCCCTCCCTCGCTCACAGACACATAACGTGTATGGCAGTCCATTCTCCCTGCAGCACGGACTACACTGCCCATGATGCTACATTCTTTAGAGCTATACAGGGAGTGCAGAATTATTAGGCAAGTTGTATTTTTGAGGAATAATTTTATTATTGAACAACAACCATGTTCTCAATGAACCCAAAAAACTCATTAATATCAAAGCTGAATGTTTTTGGAAGTAGTTTTTAGTTTGTTTTTAGTTTTAGCTATTTTAGGGGGATATCTGTGTGTGCAGGTGACTATTACTGTGCATAATTATTAGGCAACTTAACAAAAAACAAATATATACCCATTTCAATTATTTATTTTTACCAGTGAAACCAATATAACATCTCCACATTCACAAATATACATTTCTGACATTCAAAAACAAAACAAAAACAAATCAGCGACCAATATAGCCACCTTTCTTTGCAAGGACACTCAAAAGCCTGCCATCCATGGATTCTGTCAGTGTTTTGATCTGTTCACCATCAACATTGCGTGCAGCAGCAACCACAGCCTCCCAGACACTGTTCAGAGAGGTGTACTGTTTTCCCTCCTTGTAAATCTCACATTTGATGATGGACCACAGGTTCTCAATGGGGTTCAGATCAGGTGAACAAGGTGGCCATGTCATTAGTTTTTCTTCTTTTATACCCTTTCTTGCCAGCCACGCTGTGGAGTACTTGGACGCGTGTGATGGAGCATTGTCCTGCATGGAAATCCA